AGACTATTCGAGCCTGATCATGTTTGAAATACTGCTTCATTTCTAAGATGCCATCGGAAATTATTTATGCTTGAATAACACTTGAACAAGTCTGTATATACAAAAAAATTTACAGCATTGTAGCCTGTTATGTTCTCACAGCATGGTGTCGATATAAAACGATAAATCAATTCATATCGTCAGTGACTAGCCCTAACGCAAAGCTCACCATTTTTCATACCCTATACATATAATAGTTTAACAAAAATGGTCTCAAAAGACGTCTGAAACTTATCCTGTTGTTTACATGTCGATAATCGCTCAAGCTTGTCTGGCCGATCAAACCACATATATTGGCAGAATCGTCTTTGCTGTAAATCTTTCAATCACAAAGGTGATCTAAAGTACAATGTGAGATAATGATACACACTTGAAAAGATGGGTTATGTGAGTTTATATTAAAGATTGTGAGTATATATGAATACAAAGAATTGAGTGATGACTGCATTGTGTAACATCTTCCAATGAGTCCATTCACCTTAACGACGAATTAATCATCCTTCACCTTGGTATGAATCGAAGATTTCAGAATACTGGGAAGTTTAGATTAACGGCCCCCATAGTTGGAAGTACATGTCATAGCTCCTATTGTATACCATACAATGCAACAATAATCAGAAACTTGTTCGAAAAATGCGGTCATTTCTCATTTCATATGATGGGTATTGCAGTAGAGTGGAAAATGTATAGCCCCCTGTGGATATATTGATGTATGACTTTGTTCGAGTAGATTTTCAATATCAGCGTCAATTCCCTATGGAAAAGAGGAAAAAACGGAATGCTTCTCTTTAAAAGGCAACATGATGGATTTTATATGTGGTTGTTTTATTTTATATCATAACAGAGCTGCATATTGATGACGTATACGTCGATATAAATCTGCGCTCTGCATAATTTATCATGGTATACAAGAATACGAGGGCCATTTACCACGTAAGAACCGTCTCCTGAGGGGACGGGTAAATTTTATTTCTGAACGTAAATTGTACCCCAAACTTAATTATGAATATTTTTTCATCATTCAACATAGTTACCATAAACATTCGAATATTTGTCAACTCGTGACTCGTGACACCACCCCGTCGTCAAAGGACCGTTAAACCAGTTAGTAACTGTTTCTTTCAGGATGCGATCAATTTACAAACACTTCTCACCAAGAAGGTTTGGTAAAATATGATGGTGGATGATCCATCAATTTCCAATTAAACTTGCCCAGTTGCGTCTGTGTTCTTGCCGCAACGAGCGGTCGCGCGGGTATCCTTCAGCTAACGTTTAAATAGTGCTACCATCGTAACATATCTGTTTTCTATATTAAACTTTACTAAGTTCTGTGCATTCCCAGAGTAGAATGAATATGGACAATAACTCAAATATTCAGACCAATTTTTCTTCTCAAGGAATGATCTGACACAGTTCATGTAAAGTCATAAAATGAGATAAATAGTTCGCGGTACGCAATCACCATGTATCACAGAGGACATTTCATGACAATGAAAACAATCTGTATTGTCTTTAATCCTACTTCCGTCTCTAGATGTGATGCCAATGTTTTTTAAGCGTCCTGCACAATTTACTCTATATTTTACACCAAGCGGTATGAGCACTGCAAGCTTCGGTCTTCGTCTGTCAAACACATGAAGTGTTATAGAAAACAAACAATCGCCGATTTTGTGAAAAATAATAATCTGTAAGTCGACGGTTTAACATCTTAATGTGGAGGGGAATAAATGCCTCTTAATTTCATGCTTTCTCCCAGTTGGGGATAAATAAAAGCTACATCAAAAGTCGCACATTCGTGGCATTCCAGTTTTGGAAATTTATATTTACATACAGAGAGAATTCAGTGGTTCAGTGGCGTATCATTAATCTGGAGCCTGATATGTCTATTAAAGATTAAATATACTAAGTGACATATAAATCCGAACACCCAGTTTAAATGGTTTCATTTTAATAAAAGTTGGTGAATGTATTTATCTTACTGTAAATAACAACAAATAACAAATTTTCAGCCTTATCAGTTGGACATTCCGGTTTTTATACTGCTTTTTTTTTAATTCACTAACGCACTAAAAATGAATATTCCAGCCGCAGTAAAGAATCAACGTTGGCGGATTTTGGTTCTTGACATCCTTTACGATCGGTTACGATGCCTAAAGTACGGAGACCTGTACGATTTCGTCAACTTAGTGAGTTTGATAGGGGCTGTATAGTGGGACTTCGGGAAGCTGGGCTTTCTTTTCAGGCAATTGCAGTTAGAGTGCAAAGAAGTGTAGACACTGTGGTTAGGTGTTATCAGGCATGGCTTCGAGAAGGCCGTACGCAAAGAGCAAGGGGCACTGGACGCCGCCGTAGAACAACAGACCGTGAAGATCGCCGCCTAAGATTATTGGCCTTAAGGGACCGTTTCTCCACTACCAGGTCCATTGCAAATGAATGGTCTGCAGAACACGGAAGACCTATTGACATGCGAAGTGTTTACCGACGAATGAGAAGTTTTGGCTTGTTTTCATACCGGCCACACTGGGTCCTCCCTTTAACTCGAGAACACCGACGTAATCGCCTTGAGTGGTGCAGACAATGGTCACTCTGGGATCAGGAATGGAACAGTATTGTCTTCAGTGACGAGTCTCGATTTTGTTTAAGCATGCACGATGGTCATGCCAGGGTTAGAAGGCGACGTGGTGAAAGGAGGAATCCACAGTTTTTTGTTGAAAGACATGTTCATCACACTGTTGGAGTTATGGTTTGGGGTGCTATAGCTTATGATTCCAGGTCACCTTTAATCTTCATCAGAGGTAACATGAACGCGCAGCGTTATATCCACGAAGTTCTAGAACCCCATCTTTACCTTATCTTGACACCCTGGCCCAACTTTCCAACAAGATATGCCCGACCACATGTTGCAAGAGTCACAATAGACTTCTTTCAACATAATGATGTCACATTGTTACCACGGCCACCAAGATCTCCCGACTTATCCCCAATTGAGCACGTGTGGGATATGATGGGTAGGAGATTGCTCAATTTGCAACGTCCTCATCAGAGTCTAGAAGCACTTCGACAGGAGTTGGTGGTTGCCTAGAATGAGATACTACAGGAGGACATTGACCACCTAATCAGAAGCATGCCTAGGTGTGTTGGAGAATGCGTAGCACATCAGAGTGCATCCACACATTATTAAAGGTCAAAGGGCTTTAAAGCAGTGCAATCATTTTGAAATTTTTATCATTTACTTATTATACTTCATTAAGTACTTATACAAAATTTTATTAAAATAAAACCATTTAAACTGGGTGTTCGGATTTCTATGTCACTTAGTACCTATACGTTATTTATAGTGCAGAATAGTAATTTCTATATTTGTATTAAAGCCGTGACGTGCTACAAACAGTTAATGTCCCTCATGACACCTATTTCAAACGTACTTCCAAAGAATATTCTAACTATGTCAATTGAATGAATATAATTATGAGGAGCAATAATGATTTTCGCACAAACCGTCAAACTGCACACTGTAGATAAACTGATAAGTTAGATTATGAGAAAGAATGGAAAATACTATGAAGGCTGTGGTTAAGCTCATAATTAGTTAGTTCACGTCTTCGCTACTTTGTCGCTCCAGTATGGTAAAGCTGTGAGTTCCCATTAAATCGAGCGATTGTAAAAAAGTAATTGTCCAATTTGAGTGTCGTCAAAGAATTTTCTCGAGCTGCAAAATAGTATTTCGCGCTCTCAATATACAAATCTATCGTTCAAATATTACGCAAGTTCAGAGTTATTCAAGGAGGATAGCGGCATAAAACATACTTAGATTTACTCATTTTAAATTATTTCAAAACGGTTTTAAATATTTTTTTCGTTACCAAAATCTATGAACCTGTGTATGTGTAAACAAAATACCCATTAATAATTTTCTACAAGCCTGAATGGACAGTTAATACTCCGGAGAGTTTTTTTGTTGCCCGAACTTTTATTTGTTTTCTTCTCTGTGACCACAGGCAACCATATACAATGTCGTTTCGTGCATGGTAGTAATCATTCGTACGGTATATGTATTGTTTTGGAGACATACAATAGTACAAATACAAAGACTTGATACATTTTGACCCATAGTTCAAAAATGCCGAAAGGACCGATCTAAGAAAGCGCAGATGTCAGCATTTAGAAATGACAACCCGACCGTCAGTGGAATGGTGAAATGGATCTGTTTGGTTGCCATCTCCATTACTATGATCAATTCTATACGGTGCCATTCCGTGCTTGTTAGCTATTATCAGTATACCATAGGTATTGTCCTGTAGACACAAAGCAAACAAACTCATGTGGTCTACGTATAGGGCCTACTAAAAAGCTCATTATGTAAATTTTTATTAGCGTTAGGCAGACAAGTACTACATTTCACTAGAAGAACAGATCAAATGATAATGATGATTTCTGATTGATAAAACATATTCATTCCACACATTACGTATAACGTCTACGCCACTGGAAAAAACCGCATCGCGGCTAGGAAAAAAGGGAAAACAGTGAATTTCACGGCTGGGCAATCTTGATTATACGTTTCTGCTTTACTGATCTCCGATACACCATCTACAAACTCCTTTAGACTGGAAGTGTGGATGCGGGGAAAAAGGAGTTGCGGCAGAAGCGACGCTGAGACAAACTTCGAACTTTACAATGGATGCGGCTTTTATCAATAAATTTGCTGCGTTGCTGTTGTATATTGGATGTTCTTTCGTTCAATACTGCTACGATATACATGTGGCGTATTTGATAGAAAAGATGAATGTATGAGTTCTTAGTTTCAATAAATTGAGCAATACCTCATTTTATGGTCAAGCAGCAAAGGCTAAACCTGAATACCGCGGCCGCTATAAAAAAGTTAAATACACCATATTGGTAAAATGTTTGAGCTAGAAGCTTTCGGCATAACTGTTTTGACTCTTTGCTCCCTAACCTAGATGCAAACGACTCGTAGAGGAAAGGAGGGTATCACTTTACAGTCTAGTTTGAAAGAGATGAAACGACAGAAAGCTACCGTTCCTTGTTGCACACGTAGGGTTTGTTGGGTTAGCTGTCTCAACAACCGCTCGGGACAATCTGTCTTCAAACATGGCGGCAAGAGCATGATATGTGTTTTTGCGATCGTGGATATAATATTTTACCTTCGAAAGCTTAATTGTAAGTACTTCAATATGTCTATACCTGTTGTTAAAACCGTTGAACAAAATTGTTTTTTAATGAAATAACTTCTTTTCATTGTAATATTACCATCTGCTTTCACATGATTCTGTTTAAACAAGGAGGCAAAGTGCGTACACGTGTACGGTATTTGCCGCATCGAAATAATCAGGTCACGGATAATGTTAAAATTGTTTCTGAAATTGCCCCAGTAAATGATTTTATTATTTTGACCTTCAGACCTTTGATATCTGGAAATAAGAACTTTGCTTACAGATGGAGACTAAAAAACAAGGTTCTTGGTCCCCCAGAAAAATGAAAAGTGCAATAAGGGACATTCGTGGTGGAGCAAAGTTGAAGCCGACAGCTGCCTTGTATGGTATTCCTGTTATGACATTATCTGATTACTCAAAAAGGGGCAGCTATGATATGAATAAAACGGATGGCATATAAGTGTGTATACGAAATTAGACCATTACGTGTAAGGAGTTGCCCGCTCGATTCGGTTAGTGCCATACAAAAACTGTTTTCAACTGAAGCGCTTTATCTGATATAATTATGGTTTTTATTTTCTGTCGTTCAGCATATATAAAATAGGACTAATTAGTAGCAAATTGAAATTGATAATTTTCTTTTTTCATGAATACTTGTGTCCTACAAGGACATTTTACGTAATGTGTACGGTAATACCCTCCGTTCCAATATCGTAACTGTATCGGACTAGCAGGGAACGACATGATGGAGAACACCACAAAGTAACAAGGTCGATACAAAAGGAACAAATCAAGAACCGTCGGACTATGTAATAGAGACTTGATGCTACCCGTTAATGAAGGGTGTCTGATTATATTTTTGAAAACGGCATTGAGAGATAAGAAAAATGGGCGCTGGAGGAATTTGAGCCCGCATCTCCTCCATTCTGTGACAGACGATCTAACCAATTAGCCCACAGTGCCAGCTGCCAACCAAATTTCAAGCAAATTCAATCCTAGCCACGTTATCTCTCCTTTGTTGTCTTTTTCCTATCTCTCAAGTTGTTGTTTCCAAAAATATACTGGCTGTTGGTGATGCGGTCTTCCGAAAAATCATAAGCAGGTTGCTGTTCTCGTACGATGGTACCGTAGTGTGTGCCCTCGAGGCGTCGGAGACCGACTAGCGATCAGAGATAACTTACTGATCCGGATGTTGTTGTCGCTTAAACGCCACCAAATTCGGTACTACGCAAGCTCGAGAGAAGGAATGAAAAGTAACGTGGGTAGGATTGATTTACCTCAAACACTCGCTTTTGAAACTTGGTTTGCCCTGTAGGTCAATTGGTTAAGTCGTCTGCCACGAAATGCGGGCAACGTCAATTTTTCCTGTTTCGCATATTGTTGTTTTTAAATATATAGCCCCGCGATTGCGAATGCACTCAAAAACCGTGAACATGTATCTGATCAGTCGGAAGCTCCTCCGATATGTAACCAGTATTTCTTGTCAAATTCATCTCGGCTGAGTACATAGTCACGCGAATTGGATTTAGGGGTTTTGCCGTCATAAGATACAGACAGTGCTGTTGTTTCCTGAATGCTCACATTGTCACAAATCTTATGCCTTAGCCAACCCTAGAAGGTCTGCAATAAATTCACACTGAATGATTGGCAACTTTCCAACCTTCTCCGAACCCATACGCGATTTGTGCCCCATGGCAACGTCGTACGGCAACGTCCACGTTTTAGAGCAGTAGTCGTACATTTTCCGGCGCGTAATTTCTAGGACATGTCGCGCGACAATGGAAACAGCGGCGCCAACAGATCTCGAGACAAACTTCAAGCTTCACATCGATACAACTGTTAGTTCGATATCTGTCGCCACCGCTCAAAACCAGAGTTGCGCGGCATTCTGTTTATGACACGACTCTATAGCATCATAGATTAATGTATTACCTAAGGATATTCAACCATATACTGAATTCCAACGTCAAAAACAGATAGTCGCAACTACTTTTGAAGGGGTTAAAGTATTTAGTTCTGCCACGCGACTATTTTAATTGGGTATCTTCAGATAGAATACGATAATCAAAGCTTAAAGATACCCAATTAAAATAAACATCATAAATGCATCAAAAACATAGCGCCATCTATGCGACAGCAGCAGAACCAAACACTGTAACCCTATACAACGTGGATTTCTAAATTCATTTTTGTGTCCATAAATTAACGTCACATGTATTACTCGCCTATATACTTTCAAGACGGATTGTAATAATGCTGAAGTTACAAAAAAATAACCTAGAAATCACGCGACAAAAACTGCCAAGCGACAGGTAGATCCATTTAAACGAACGACATTGTCGTACCATGTTGTCGCGTTACTCAAACCTCGTGCATTAAATAGTCTAAGTAAAAACTTCATCCTGGACTCCTATTGTTGAATACAAGGAAATAGAACCACAGTGAAGGTAGACGCGGCTTTATGGCTTTTCGGGGAGTTGTGTTCCAGTACACTGATAGAATAGTCACTCCCCGAGTATTTCTCTGGAGAAAAATAGCGGAAATCTCGCCGTCGGCGTCGTCGCTTAGTCTTAAGACAAAGTTCACTTTTTGATGAAACGTTTAATGATATGGAGAACCTAGAACATGTTATTTTGCCGGAAATAGATAATATATTCACAATCTTGTTTAACAAAAGTCAACAACTGTCTGAATTTGGGATCATTCCTCGAGCAGCATTCCTCAAAGAGCATTATGTCCTACTGCGCTCATGAATTAGGGTCCAGGCGCAAGCACAGCAAGAACCTTTCACCCAACCTAATGATCTATTTAGTCAATCTATATTAATAGTCGAAATCTTTGGCTGCTATTTGTGAACAAGCTCAAAGCAATTCAAACGAGTTAGGTTAGGGCTTTACTTCAAACCTTATTTTTAGCTAGCAGAAACAAAAATGTGTTTAGGCTGATTGTTTGTTGTTAACCTTTGTCAGTTTCGTCAAGGGAAGATATGATAAAAATTCTCAACAGTTTTCCGTGATAGCTTATTTGATCTCGAACGCATATGTATTCACACACCTCGAAGTAACATCTGGTTGTATTTTTAGTTGTTTTCTTGGAAAAGCAGCAACCGAAACGCCAGTAAAGACAATAATTCATCACATATTTCAGTATTCATCAGTGACAGCACATATCAGAGTGTGAGATGCATTAAAGACAATAAGTACGCGGTGAGTTTTAGCAATTCAGATATCTTATTTGGATAACTGCTTTTGATATATTTATTGAAAACTAGGTTGCACCAAAAGAAAGTGGTGGGGTGTTCAAAACAAAGGTTTTTTCGCAGTAGTATTTTTAATTGTCCAAAATCAAAATTGTATAAAATTTCAGATTTTCTGTTATATCTTGTGTCGATTCTATGAGATACCCAGAAAAAACATAACACATCACAACATTCTAGTGAATAAGCAATCGTATGAAACAAATGTAAACATATTGAAAGTAGGTCAGATTCACATAACAATGTCAACGCCATCCGACACGGTTCTGTACTTTATGGTGACGGGTACACCGTGTTTTCTCAGGTCTTTCAAATGAATCCTGATAGAGCACGTATTTCCCAATACAAATACAGCAAAACCGGATTTCAGATATAAATTGAAACTTGCAATGTGGTTGTTTAAAGTTGGGAATGTACGGTCGATTTAGAAATAAAGGCGATATTAAACAAGGTCGAGCACAAAGGTTCATTGTTAATATATTTGAATTGTGAATATGTAATATAGACTTTGTTTTCCATATTTGCACTTTTTCACAACAGTTCCGAGGCTAAGATAATACATATTTTATATATGCATGTAGGAAATCCATGAACTCTATTTCTACAGCTTATTTGTTAGGCCAATCTGCCAATACAACGTATTTATTCATGGACGCTTACAGCTATTTTTTTATACCAAATTCGATGACAAATATTTATGACAGAATGTCCAAGAGCGTTGAAAGCATCGATCTTCACGCGAATTGATCAAAGTGATTGGAGAGCAAGGGATAAGGGCAAGACTATCCTAAGGTACTGTGAATAAATGAGGTCATCTTCGCTGCGTAGCTGAAGATTTTATTTAATTTTTGATAGTTTTATGCTTGAAATTGTGATATGTATGTGGAAAGCTCTGCCTTATTCTTTTTAAAAGGAAGGATTGAAACAAAGAAAAATAATTATTTTCGTTACTTCAAGGGTTGTCTAGTCATTTTTGGGGATTCCGGATACTAAAATATTGCTTTGGAGCGCGAGCCACATTTTTTGTTCAACCGATTTTTTGTTTCCTCGCCAATCCACTGACATATTTGAGGGTAGTTGAGAAAGTTTAAAATAACATGGCTAAATTAGATGAGATTAGAGATGGAATTACTTGTCTCGAGATCTTTCAGTCTGGTTCTATTTCGTTTTATAAACATAAGACAAGTCTCCAGTTATACATATTATGCTAGTTAATTAATTGATAGGTATACGAAAATGATATGCTTTTATCAAGAATATTTCGTAATAAACGTCAAAATACATATAGTGATATGTGCTTTCATCTCCCCCTATGGAATAATAACTGATACAAGCGCAGCTACCCAAAAATCGCGCAAATGCATATAGTATAATACACCAATGGTTGTTATTATGTCAAGGCTTTTATTTTGTATATTAAACAGATTAGGAGCATAACTGGTCAGTTAGTCAACTCTAACCGGCTATAAAACAAGACGATCAAGCGGCACATAAATTTCAAGATTCCAATAAAAGCTCAGCAAAATATCATGTCAAAAAGCATGTTCAGTTTGTATGTTGTTCCAGGCAATAACGATGACCCGTGCCAAAACGTTATAGGGCGGTCAAGGAAACTGACACCCAGCCAAGTTAAGCAATGTTGGTAAAAACATATCAGCGCGCTGTTAACATCATCGGCCGCTAAGTGGCTCTTATTCTAATTAAACAGCGGCCAATGCTGTTATAGTGGAATATAAGTAAAGAGTGTTCCATATATGGCTTCTTCTTTCAACTACCATTTTGTCAACTGCCATGTGTTTAGTATATATGAACTGTCAAAGGTCTACCATTCGTTATTATGGATTCTTAAACAACGCAAGAACGCATTTTGATCGTCCAAAAATATTACGAAAACGGACAATCTTTAAAAAGAACTTTTCGCTGACTTCGTGACGAATTTGGTCGACATAATCGTCCCACAGAGCATGGCATTCGGTGGATTATCAATCGTTTTGAGGAAATTAGCTCAGTTGAAGATCGTAGAACATATCAACATGCCCATCCGGTACGTACACGTGAATAAGTGGCCGCTGTGAGTGAAAGTGAACAGCCATCAACTTCGATAAGACACCGTTCGAAAGAATTGGACATCAGGACAACAATATTATGGAGGATTTTGCATGTTGATCTCCACCTACACCCATACCCATACAAGATCCAACTAA